AGGGATCGTGGTCGGTGAGAGCGTTCTAGGGTTTTATTTCTTTGATTTGGGGATTTTTCTTGGATGGAAGAATCCTCAGCAGGTATGGATAAGGCGAGAGAGGGGGATGATGGGGTTCTCCAAAAACTGTTCAAAATGTCTTTATCGGCAAAAGAAGCAGGAGAGGCTGAAATTACTGGGGATGATATCAAAGTAAGCGATGAGGAGTGCAATAGAAGTTTGTTTGGGAAGGTTGTGGGTGATAGGCATGCTGGTCTTCTGGGAATTAAGAGAACGATGGGCGCCATCTGGAGAATGCAACATTCCATGGAGGTGAAAGAGATTAGCGAAAATTTTTTCCAATTTATATTTCTTTCTCAAGAGGACAAAAAGAAGGTGTCTGCAGGCCATAATTGGATGTACGGAAACCAATACTTAATTCTAAAAGAATGGTTCCATGGGTTACATAGTAATCACAGTTGCTTTGATGAGATCACTCTTTGGGTTCAGGTATTAAATGTTCCTTTGAATTGGATGAGCACTGAGGTTGGCCAGAAAGTTGGAAGAATCTTCAATAAAGTTAAAAACGTGATTGTCTGTAAGGTTGGAGGGGATGTAGGGAGTTTTCTGAAGCTGCTGGTGGCAATCGACCTGAAAGAACCAATTCCCAGGTGCACATCCATTAAACTTGGGAATCAAAAGGTGATGGTGGCATTTAGGTACGAGAAACTTGTCAACTTATGCTACTACTGCGGCATGATAGGGCATCTGGACAGGAGCTGCAGCAAAAGATTGAGAGATTTTGAGAATAACTGTGTGGCTGATGGTCAATTTGGGGAATGGCTAAAAACCTCTGAGACATATGCGGGGGGAAGGAGTATGCAGTCTGACAGTTCCGGTGAGAAAGTTGACCACCCGAAAACCAACCTAGTCCAAGATTCCTTGGCCTCTGATAATATTATTTCTAATGAGGGTCAAAGAAAGATAATCAGAAGCACTGAAAGTGGGGATCAATCACCCCTTGTTTTGGGGGAAGTAGGAGGCCCGGGTGACAAA